TATGGACGAAGAAAAAACAAACAAAATATTTGCGAATACAAACACATTGAGAGCTACATGGCTTACATAACTCGGTGATTACACATTATGACATTACACGAGAACGATTTCGTAACTGTAAAATGTTTATCGTATATTTGGTCGCTTTAGAAATCATACATATTGCGTATTAGCAGTACTATTATTTAGTATGTTCAAACAACTAGTAGTATTCGACAAGCATATCCAAGCTATCAAATTAAGGAAAAATTAAGGTTCCCTAGACTACAGCAAGTACGAATTAGCCTCTACCTACAGTTGAAATCGCAAATTTTTATATGGTACGAAGTCTTCGATATTGGAAACTTCGAGCTTTTCGTTCCGTCCATTGTATCAGTGTTGACAGTTTGGTGTACCGATTATAACACGTTTGCAACGCCTCTGCAGTATCAAGCTGTTCACTCTAAATCTCGTTTGCGGCTTGTTATGGCCGACAACAACGCCAACGCAACCACCGGAGAACAATGCAACTGCCGCAATAAAGACCAATGCCCGCTAGACAACAAATGCTTAACTACCAGTGTAATCTACAACGCGCAAGTCACAACCAGCAACACAACCAAGAACTACATCGGACTGACAGAAGGAACATTCAAACAAAGATTCTCGCAGCACAAATCTACATTCAAACACAGAAAACACATCAACAGCACCGAACTTTCTAAGTACATCTGGCAACTAAAAGACAAAAAACAAGACTTCAACATCAAGACAATCATCAGCCGTGCAAGACCCTACAACAACAAATCCAAACGATGCGACCTCTGCCTTACAGAAAAACTTATGATAATTAAACACAGTAACGACAATATACTAAACAAAAGATCAGAACTCATCTCTAAATGCCGACACGAAAACAAATTCTACCTGAAGAACACTTGACACCTCTACAGCCTATTGTATTCACACCTACGCAGTTTTAATTAATAGTATACTCTCCTTTGTAATTTTTACCTTCACACCTATTGTTTCCAACATAACTATCACGTATTGTATGTAAATAGCCTAGCACTTAGCCTTTTGTTCTATACCATGTATATATATCTAGATTATAGGAATGTTTATCATTAAATACTGTCTGATGAGTGCGTAGCACGAAACTCGGAGTAACAGCAAAATCTTGCCTCTTTGATATTATATATATACTGATATATAAAAAAATATGGCGTTCGAAAAGGGGGGATGCGTCCACACCCAAAGCACCTCCCCTGGATCCGCCCCTTTACTAGTATGGTAATACTAAAGGTCAATAGTTGCTTGGGTTTGTTTTAATCATTACATTTATAAACTGTTTTATATGTACACTGTATGTGTAGTCTTAGAAATCTTTAGTTTTGTGGGGTATTGACCAGTGTGCACGATATAGATTTATAAGCTTGGCTAGATTATCACTTAATAGTTGAGTGGAAAACTTTAGTAGTACTCAATATTGTGCATAACTAGGATCCACACATGATCTGTTAG